CCCCCCCCAGCAAAGAACATTGTGCTCTCTTTAGCATCCAAATAACCTACAGTAACTATATGCAAACAAATGGGAAGAATGGATGGGGAGGGACAGAAGGGAGGAAGCAGGTGAATGACAATGCTCTCTCTGAAACTGATTGCAAAGCCCAGGGGAAAGTCCTTGGACCACTACAAGTGCCAACACTGCAGGTATTACTTGATCTCAAAATGCAGATATAAAGCTGCTGATTTAAAACCAGCAATCAGATTAAATATTTAGTTTCTACACACAACCGCATACAAGAATTCAAAGGTTATTTATCCTGTTCCATCCAAATATCCGCTGAGAGAAAATTCTGAATTTGAAACAACACGCACAGTTTGATGGTAAATTTGTGCTCTTAAAAAGAGGGAATGGAAGCTGTTCCAGTTTATGTTAAGGACACATCCTAAGGGTACTGGGCAAAACCCCAGAATGTTTAGTGGGTTTTCTCACCCATATCTACATACAAATGCTGTAGAGTTGTTTTTTTGGTTAGGTTTTTGTGTGTGTGTGTTTGGTTTTGGGGGGGGATGAGGTTTTTTGGTTTGTTCCCCCCCTCCCCATCATGCAGCTTCTCCCTCCTGCCTTCATTTCTCTTTTAATAACAGTGTGTTGGTTTAAGCCCTGCGGGACCGTACTTCAGTGCCCAAATGAAAAACAAACAGATAGTTGTTGCATTCTAATTCTTTTAAAGTACAATTATGCACAATTCTGAATGTAGCTCAAAGACAGAAAAATACCTGATTCTATGTATTCTGTCTTTTTTTTCCCCTTCATCTTGTTTTCATTAGAGGTAAAGTTTCTCTCTGATTTTCTTATATCTTAGAGATAACATCTTAGGCTAGCTATGCTAAAATTTTGGGGCTCAATTTTGCACAATTCAAGATTAAAATTGGACATGTGGAAAAAAGACATTTAGTTTCCCTTCTCTTCTCCTGAGTTGCTCACAGCAGGAATAAAATTTCTACTCCCATAAGCTAAAATACTTGTATTATATTGAAGAAAGTTAGACAATGTAATGCAATCTTTTTTATTCAATCTACAGGTTCTCAGGAGTTTTAGCATCATCAGCTGGAGGTGTATTAGGTAACACCAACCCAACCCATCTTGCACTGCACAGGCATTCATATGACTAAGATGTTCTTTATTTGTCTTTCTAAATCTGTTTAGGTAATTGAGAGAACCATTCTCCTGGCCAAAACACATGCATGCCCCATTCATCAATTAAGTGAAAGGATGCTGCTTCAAGCCTATGCTCCTTCTTCCCCTTTCCAAGCATCTTCCTATGCTCCACTCCTACATCCCTCATTATGTTGCTATCTAGATTTACCTCCTCATCCCACTAGCTTCAATTTCTGCTCCCAGATTTCAGCTAGCTATATGCCAGGCAAAGAACTGGCACTATAACCACCCTGCTGAGGTGAAGCTGTTTCCCACAACCTGTTTGCTAATGTGACAGGGCTGCCAAAGGCACAAGTGATCTATAAGGTGTCACATATTTGGCATGTCTAAAGAAGAAAACATGGCAATAGCTCATGCCTCCCTGAAGACCTCAGGCTCTTTATTCAGCCAGCCTATCTGCTGCCAAGACATCAGAAATATTTGAAAACTGGTGTTAGCCTAAGAATTTGAATTAATTTAGCCACACACAAGGTGTGGGAAAACTGGAGAAAGAGAGAGAGAAGCCATAACCAAACCACCCCATATATTCTGTTACATGAAGAATATTTGTTTATATTTCAAGTATCTATTTCAGCACTCCCAAACATGGGAAGCACCTATTCCAGGGCACAAACTAAAAATAGACTAGGGATACATTTTGTGCAAGGCTCATCATGACTAGAGCCGATAAGTTCCCTGAAATAACATCAAGAAGTTGTTCAAAGGTTCTGAAACCTTATCAAAGACTAGCATCTGTTATGCTTAACAGTGAAGCTGATCTGAAGACTAAGCTTGCCCACAGAATAATTTATTCCCATGTTACTCTTATTATTTATCTTTCCACACAAAATATATGTTTGTATCTTTTACTATAGTTAGATCAGAGGCAATGCATTCTGTCAACATGTATTCATTTCATCTAGTTTCAGTATCAAACCATACCTAACACAAATGGTCCACATCCAATTGAGGAGTCAGGAAGATAAAACACTGTCCCTTCCTAACAGGAAATACCTTCACACTCCAATCCTTCTCTATCCAGAAGTTACATGTTCCTAAAGAGTAAGTTTGCTTACTCACCTTTAAAGTTAACTTTGCTTTGGTCTATCTTCAAGGTTCTGCGGCTAGGCTAATATTCTGTTCCCTAGTTAGAAATCTGTCATTTGCAGCACCATCATTGCATTTCAAGCTTGGTCAATTCTGCTTCCACATCCAGTTTTTAGCTTTTCTGAAGAGACAGTTGAGATACTACAGCTATAACTTTTTTTTAAACTGTTTCAGTACCTTCCCAATAAAAGACCTCCACTGGGCTTTATAAGATAACAACTATTCATACTGCCTTAATACAGCACAAATCCTACATTGCTGCAGCACAACCAACTCATAAATGCCTGCTAAGCTACCCTAGCTGCTTAACCATTAGCACTGTTGGGGACAAAAAGAGACCTACCAATAGTGAGATCGTGGACTGGTTGAAACCGCTTGTCTGTAAACTGTAACAATAAACATGATTTCCCAACACCTAAAAAAAAAAAAAAGAAGTTTTAAGCAAATTTTTTAAAAATAAATCTGTTAAGAACCAACAGACATTAAAGTGAATGGTATATATTGTTTAAAATTCATTACTAGAACTTGAGATACTAGATTTCACCTACTTTGAAGTGTATGTAACTTTTTCATAATACAAAAGCTTTTAAAGTTCCAGAAGCATTAAAACCAAAGCAGTTATTTTCAAAATTTGAAAAAAAAAAAATTGAAAAAGGAGTTATGCCTTTAAAATTATGCACAAAAAAGTTTCCTAACAAACCTTCAAAGTATCATTTCACATTCTCTCTCCACAGTAACTACAGGTCTAGCTACTCCTCACAACCTTACATCTACTTCCTCTTCAGTATTTTCAGCTTTCTTCCGAGCTAACTAGATCCTCAATAACACCTCACTCCCACCTATATCTTAATTTATCAGCTGAGGTAACAGCAGTACAGATATGGCTGCTTACAACCACTATGTGCTACTGCCCACTAGTTCCCAATAGGCCAAAAAATAGCCCAGGCAGAATTGTCCACAGCTGAGTTCACATTACAGCCAGCCAACATACTGTCCCCCTCACATATCCTAATTTCTAACCCAAATGGGTTAACTACTTCACATTACATGGACACTGGTCAACAAATGGGCAATTTCTCCTGTATGTGAAAGCACTGAAAAGTAAAAGTTAATGCAGCTGATAGGAGTACTAAAACTACCTAGGTCTGTAAACATAAACATAATGCTTTTTACAGTTAATCTTTCCTTGTTCTTTTACTTCAAAGGGTCATTTTTCCTGTTCTGCTCAGTCAAATTTCCTATTGTCGGCCTTTTAAAACTTGACAGTTGTACATTTGATGTACATACATTTATAATCTAAACTATTATCACATAACATACAATACTGTAGCATCCAAGTTCCTGCTGTACTTTGCTGTATCTGTCCAGGAAGGTAAGGCTATTATAGCCACATACTAGAGGTCAGCAACAGCTGATCAGAAGTGACATATCTGGTAATAAAAAACAGCAAAGGGGTAAGGAAAACACTGCAAGATATGCACACCAGAGGTTTGCATATAGTGACATTGACCTTTCTACTACAAAATTCAAAGTTTTTCAGTATGGTTTCATGAGGAAACAAAGCCTATGCAATTGTAATCACTGCCCACCTGTCATTTTGGTCTTAAAAATCTAAGACTAGTGGCCAGTTTCAAACAAATCTAACAGAAACAGCAGACTTGCATTTAGCTTTGTCACAAAACGAGTTGTGACAAATTGATGACACTCAGATTAATAACCCAAGTGATGCAGCAATTCCAGCAGCCTAAGCCAGTTGATGGTACTGCTATCCCTACTCTCTTCCCTACAGCATGTTTGAGCCCATTTCTCCATATGGCTTAGATAAATTCTGAAGCAATTTCTGTTGTCAGATTAGCATGCTAACCCAGCAGACAAGAAGAGTGACAAAGCAAACAGAAACAGCTTAATGCAGGGTCAGACAAGCATGAGAGTTGGTTCAAATGAGGGAAAAGAAATGCAGCAGCCAGCAGATCAACAGCTTAGACTGGCGTGGAACTGCAGTCCAAGGCAAAGTTTGCAGCATCGGCCTTAACAGATCTCTTTTCTTAGCTCTCTGGCATATCATAGCAAGCTGTCAGAACACAAGCAGCTTGGAAGCAGGTATAGATTTTGTCCAACAAAATTAATGGACTTGAGAAGTGGATGAGGAATGGGGGAGGGCACTGGAGGTAAGAAAGAATCAGGGAAAAGGACAGGCAGAATACTGGTGCTGTTGGGGCACTGAACACAAAACTCTATGGACTTAAAACATTCAGAATTCTACTCACAGAACACTGACCGTACATACAGATAACCAATGAAATAACTGCCCCATTGTAGAACATAATCACCATCCCACTTACAAAAAACCCCCACCTATAAATCACAGCAGAATGTAGAACAGCTTTTACTATTAATCTTCCAAAGTGATTTCAGTATCACTGGATAAACCAGAACCTCAAAACTATCCAATATTCCTGCACAAGTCTTACAAGCATTAGAAAAATATTTTTAAATCTAATCAAAGTGACACTTGATTATGTGTCCCAACACCAGTTCTCAAGTGGCAATCTGATATTTCCTTCTCCTTGTAAGGCTGGTGACCAGCCTGTTGGTTCAAGAGAACATACAAACACTAGTGTCAGCACAGCAAAAATGACAGACAAGCACAGCCCCTTTGATGTAAGGCCTGTCTCAAACTGGCACAAGATGCATCTCTAGTTACTGCTATGAGGCCTTTTGGGAGCAGGCTGCAGACTGATGGCTTCACACAGAGAAAGAGAGTAAGTACTTTCTGTTCAAGGCCACTCCTGCTACTTCAGAACCTTCCATCAAAAAACATCGGGAAGTCTCTAAATTTTATACTGTTATTGACTGGAAAAGGGGTTAAAAAAATTTAAAACAAAGCTGTAATGCCTGTTAAGTTTAGGTTATAATCCATTTTAGATAATATTTACAAATATTTTACTGCCTACATGTAATAGTATTTTTTTAATTTTATAGTTTTAAGACATTGCAAGTTTGTAACAGGAAAGTTCTTACAACAGTAGTTTGTGGCCCATTCACTTCCAGAGCTGGAGCAGACTGTGCTATCGTAGACACAGTCAAGAACCTGTATCAGGAACAGGAGCTGGATATGAACTCCCGAGCAGTTCACCACCTTGTGACATAAACAGATGCTGCAAATATCAATTAAGAGCTGCATGGCAGCTAATTCCATGGCATACAGATGGTTTAAAGTAACTACACTGCTTAACTCTAAGAGCAAAGTGACTGTTTACCAGGTAGCTCATTCACTTATGTCTGAAACGAGGCAGACACTCCATGAAAAGTAGTTGAGCATGTGTTACGGTAGTCAATTGTAGAACACAAGAGATAGATTCAGTTATTAACTCATTCTCCATTTTACTGCCACAATTACTTTAATATAGCTTCAGATGAACCACCCCCAGACAAAAAAGTCTTAGTATCTTAAAACAAGAAATGAGCAGAGCTTGGATACACTTCAACAACTACAGTAAACAAAAGCTATTGCTTAAGAACAAATTAAAACAATGGGTTATGTGATCAGAGGGGAGATGGCATACTTCTTTGCAGGTGCCTGTTCTAGGATGCCTTCATCAATTCTTAATACCCAAACAGTGCTGGGAAGTGGAACTTGTGCTACAGCAGTTTTACCCTCCAGCTCTGAATTCCAAACCAGCAGCCTGAGCTGTTTCTCCAAATTCCTCTGTTTCCCTTAACAACTTCCCCTATCTGGGTGCCATTCTGCAATCAATTTCCCTAGGCAAAGGTCACCAGAGCTTTGCTCTTGTCCACCTTGGCTCAGCCACCATTCAACACCTCCCTTTCTTATATCTACAGTAGCGTTTATTTTACTGCTCAGCAAGCCCAAACAGCTCAGTGGTAAAGGGAACCTCTCCCTTCCCACTCCTAAGGTTATGCAACAAACTAAACCAAGAAACCAATCCACTATAAAACTAGTTACCCAAAACACCAGTATGTGCATGAGACATAGGCTACCAAATAAATAGAAAAGGAAAGGATTGCTCTTTTCAGTAGTAGGCTGCACTTACAGCAATTAACAAAGCAGTTCTGGAACCATAGCACAGGTAATGACTTTTGCTAGAAGAGCTGACTTGCTTCCTTCTCCCCTTCTAGTTCCTGTGACTCCCTGTGAATTCGGTAAGGAAAGTTCAGTCATCAACTGCTAACTCAGAGGTGCACTACTATCAACATGACGAAAACTTCCAGGCTTTTCTTACAACTAGATAAAACTCATCAGTGTTCCTTCCACTGATGTTTATCTTAGAAAGCTGATGTGGCTCAAAACTAAAAATGCCTCAAAAAAGTGGGGAGAGGGGGCTAAGATGATTTCCTTACTTGTTCACATAAGCACCACTATAGCCCAAGAAAAGTGACAAGAGGAAAAGAATTGCAGTAGTTGTCATCCCAACCTAGTTATCAAAATTGAATCCTGAAGACAATCTCTTTAATCAACTAGCTGCCACTGATGGGTAGACTCACTCCTTCCCCCACAGTTCCACCTCCTTACTCGAAATGGCTCTTATGCTTTTCTGACCTATCTACTATCTGTTTGGTTTTGTTTTTTAAGTCATCTCTGAGAGCTGAACTGGCTTTTCGAAGGCTCAGACAAGCTCTGATGCTGACTGCTCATAGTTGAGACAAGGAGTGGTAACCAGGTCCACCTGTTTTGGCAGCAAATGAACATTGGAAGAACTCAGCCATCTCACAGAACTGTCTTCTTGTTGATTCACAAGACAGGGTGATCAATCAGCCCACCAACCACAGAAATGAAGACCTACTCCCCCTTTATCTTGCACTCACTGATTCTCCTACGTCCAGTCTCCTTCCTTGAAAGCACCCCAGACCTTGGAAAGCACTTCCCCCGACCAACTCAGCTCATTCAACCACTAAATAAAAAGTTAACCCAGAAAGTAGGTAGTTTTCCATTGCTGTTAGTGGGTTGATTCAGCTCGTAGTAGACTATTAGACCCATACACCACAAGGTAAGGGTAGCAAGACCTCCTCTTTCATGTGTAATCAACTGTGTCAGCTTGGATGCCCACAAAGCCCAATACTAACTGAGCTGCTTCTTTTACCTTCCTTCAGAAAACAAACAAAAATAAATCTTTAAATAGGCCAAGGACAGTCTCAAACAATGGACAGGTCTCAAATAACAGAGATTTTAAAACCAATGCACATTTAAACCAGGTAATTAAATAGTGCAAATGACACAAGATATACACCTGTAACCTGGCTAATGAGGTATTTCTAGTTCTCTCTAGGAGTCTGCACAGCTTCCATATGTTTCATAAGCTCCTTCCTCTCCAATCACAGCATCTTTATGCAGCTCAGCAAAATTACCCTTTTGCAGGCCTAAGTATAATGAGACAGTAACTTAAAAGATTTTTCTTAACCTCTTTTCAGCCAGTTATTTGTTAGTCAAAATGCTGTTATTAAATGGGAAAATTTAAATAAAATTACTAGGAAGGACAAACTACAAAATTCCAAGCTCTCAGTTACAGAGCAAAGGGACTTTACATACCAGTGTAAGCATGGACAAAAAGGGAAGAAAAATAAGCTCCAAAATCCTTCAGGATGGCTACACAGGTTTGGGAAAATTGATGTCATAAAAATGGCTTTTTAACTCTTAAAAGTGATTCAGCTTCAATACTTAAATAAACATTGTTGTAAAATATTTACAACAGCATATCTAAAACAATGATTTTTCTTTTCTACATAAAAATTAGTGCAGACTTAGAAACCAAAAGGAGATGTTCAGCTTTATCACATTTCATTTAGTATGGCACGACCCAACTGCTAACTGTAGGTTTTAAAAATAAATAAAAATTACTTCCAAAGCAAATTAAGCTACATGAATCTATACAAAAACCTTTTCATGTCCTGGATGATCACAACAGACTTAGAAAACTTCCAGCCAATCATAATAAAATGGTTTTAATCAAGGGGAGGGAAAAAGGTGGATTTTTTTAAAATTAGAGGTTAGACTTAGTATGAGGGTTCACAGTAACAGTCTCATGAAACCATCTGTATTGTATGGGCACCTACTTATACTTTGTTAATTTCAGTTAACTTCTAAGAGGCTAAGAAGATATACAACACCTAGTATCTGCTCTTTTAGGAATGAAAGTATCAGCAAAAGGGTCTCAAAGGAAGACCTAAGTAAGTGAGCTGCTGGGCTTTCAACCCCAAGCCCCAAATTAAGGTTAACATATGGGTGATTCCCACAGCCCTTCACAAAGTGGGGGTGAGTTTACCTTTAAGCTTCCCTCCAGGGTGGTGCCGGCCTTGCAGGGAGAGCCATTGGGTAAATGAGCCCCAGGTGTCTGCATTAAGTAACCCAAGGTCAGGTGTCCCACTTAGGGATAAAAGCTGGGACCACTTGCAGGCAGGGGCAGTGTCTGTCTGTGAGGTGGATGCCCTGTGCAGAGTTCCCTGTTGGGGAAGGACCTCCTGCCTCCCTGGGACTGGGCTCCAGTCAGGTCTGGCCTTTGTAAATGTGGGCTGTGTAGAGATTCAGTATGTGGCTTCCTTGGTCTTATGTGTTTGGCTTGTTAACCCAGTTGTCTCCCATTCCTTCTCTGGGAGTCTGCATTTCACTGTTTATTCCACCCATTGTTGGTCATGGGGTGTCTTTGTTGGGGTCATTAGGATTGACACTGATTATGTATAATCTGCTGACTTGTTTGTACCCCAGTGCTCACCCATGTACTGACCCTTTCATATCAAATACTATCTGGTTATTGTTTCATCTTTATGCTGTCTGGGTCCTTTATGCTAGGCCTAATAATTGGCAAAACAGTAGCACAGATCCATACTCTGTTTTTCAGTACGAACTAGTCTTCAAGATATCATGGGGTGTTAACAGAAACTCTAATGGGATGAAAATCTGTTTAGCTGAGAAGTATTGGTACAAACATGTAGAAAATAAGGGCAAGAGACTCTGGAAATGCACACTGCTAGCGAGTAACAGCTGCTGTTCCAGAACAAAGTACAATGACACTAGAAACATTTCACAAGGATTGAAAAATAAAGCCAATTCAATTGCTTAGTTTCAACACTTGAGAATCTCTTAGACAAGAGAAATGGTTGACTAGACAGTTTGCTTTACTCTAGAGAGTGAGGAGAATTAGATCACCAAGCTACTATATTTTCTTTCATCATCTTCCCCTACTAAGAATAACTTTGAGATATTGTTGGTTTATAACAAGCAACTATCTGCTGAAATTGAAAGGCAAGTGAAAGTTCATTTACACAAGAAGCTCTGAGGGTTGCTGAACTAACACATTCAAGAAAGCAGAAGACAGACTTCCTCATGAAAGATGCAGCAGCTCCGATCATAAAGAAACATTTAGCTGGGATACCACTGACAAGTTATGTTGGTGGCAAGAAATCTGACCATTGCAACACTGGTAATTCAGGTATACTAAAGTTCAGTAGCATTCTCTGGTAGAATCTAGTAAACATACTGTAATATAAGAGAGTCCCACTTAATGCATATAATTCCAGCTCTAGCCTTCACAGAAATCTTGTGTATCATTCCTAGTTTAACCCATGTGGTACGCTGCTGGTAACCAAAAGATTTAAGCAGATGTCACCATCACACAGAAAAACTTTCAAGAAAAAAATGACAAAGTTCAGCCACCAACTGCAAGAACAGGCAATGCTAAGACTGCTTACCCTAACTGAGATCAAAGTCCATCTCGACTTCAGCTGGTGGCCAAAAGCAGATGTGTAGGGAAGAGTGGACAAACACACCAAACCCTACCAGCAATCAAAATGGAACAGACACTACCAACCACCAAGGAAAAGGTCTTGGAGATACAGCCCTAAGCAGAATGCACCAAAAATGCTTCTAAAACTCCTATAATATTTCAGAAATATCCAGATCAAAACATTCGGTCCATAATGGTTGGACTAGATGATCTTTAAGGTCTATGATGACCTTATGATTCTATGCTTCTGTGATTTTTCCTGGTTAACTCTAAGGGCAGTCAGTACTTCATAATGCTTCTATTTTTCTCTTAAAGATACCATTTTCATGAAATCTCACAGCTACTATCCCACTGATAAAATGTAAAAACCACGCAGATTTATGACAATGTTGAGTGACTGAAAAACAGCCATGCTATTTCAGGTCTCTCCCACAATAGAGAACTAACTAGATTTTAAATCAGTTCTGACTATATAGAAAAAAACTTTTTTTTTTTTAAATATATAAAATGTAACAACCAGAACAGAATCAGTCCCATGTTCTTAAAGCTACCATACCTGAAGTACCAGCAGAAGAAAAAGCCACTGCATGCCTTTTTTAAAGACACCAATGAAGCAAGCAACACAAGGGTACTAGAGCTATTGAGCAAAAAGCAGTCTCCCACAGTCAGTTTCTGTGGCTGTCATTTTAAGAGACTGAGATCATGCTGAATTCCTGTGTTCAAGCAGATGAAAGCATGTGGAATCACAATTCAGAGAAGACACATGCAGGTGTCTTGTATAACTGCAGAGGTTTTTCATTGGTTTATGGTTCATGTAACCCACTTTGTTTTGTAGTGCTGAAAAGTCAGAGGAGCTAAATGCTAACATCTGTCCTCAGCTGATGCTGTCTTACTTTTCTCCTACAGTTTGTTTACAACTAATTGCTGAGTCACCAGACAGCTGATCCAGTTCCAAAGACTCTAAATAAGTCCTAGAGATAAATTTCTCGATCGCTATGAAAATTATATGGCCTGCAAGGCCACTGGCATATCTTTACTGGCTAGAATGCTGTGGCAGACCACCACTGGAACAGAACAGGACAGCCCCAATCCACTCTTAATTTCCATCAGCAGAGCTGCGAGTTCAACTGCCTTCATGTGAGGGACAGCAGTAACAACTAAACCATCACAGTCATTTTGGCAACAAACAACTGTGCACAACATAAATTAGCTTTTCAGTACTAGCTATATTAGAATACTGAAAAGCTTAACAGGAGATCTATATAAGAGCAAAACTAACGTACCACTATCAGCATATTTAATTCACCTCAAGAATGCTCTCTGCAGTAGCTTTAATTAGCTTCCTGTATCAACTCTGAAAAAAAGCCATGGAAATTTAAGAAACAAAGAAAATACACCT